TAAACAACTGAAAAATTTTCTAAAAAGAAATTTTCAAATGCAAAAAGGAGAATGAAAAAAGATTTTTTTTTAATAATATTTAATAATATATTTTAACTATATTAAAATTTATTATAATAATTTTTTGAAAATTAGTTTATTTATAATTGACAATTATATAAATTAAATTAAAAAATTGATACGTAATTTGATTATCTATATAAAATTTCAAATAGTAAAATTATATTGTATATTGTTTAATAATAATTATTTTAAATTATAAAAAATATAACTTATAATAAATATATTAATAAACATACTAATAATTAAATGATTTTTTATTGAAATATACAGTATGTCAAGTATTTTTATATTAATATTAAGCAATATTTCAATTTAAAAAATAATATGGTGCTAATTAAAATATCCTTTATATATACAGTAATATAATAAATACTATTTATCATTTTTGATAAAAATAGCAATTGTATAGGCTATATGACAATTATTGTCATTTCTTTAATATTAATAAATTTTAAAGCTTAAATATTGATAATTAAATCTGAATCAATAATAATTGTTCTCATTAAATATAAATATCGTATTGTTTTCTCGTTTCAATCTATTGTTACACACGGAGATAACTTGTTCGTGTGTTCAGGATCGTCATTGAATGTAAAAAAATGTAATTTTTGAACCCTAAAATTGAGATCCTAAAATTTTAGGTTTTATTTAAAAAATAGGGTCGAAAAAATCTAATTTGTCAAGCATAATAAGAACCTCGAACAATATAATTACACAACTTAAATTTAAATAAATGACGAATCCTAACTCCTCATCCCCCAAATCAAGTATTAATTAACAGAAAACTGTGCACCACAATATATTACTTTTTAGCAAGTAGATCGCGGGTTGGAGATTACAATTTTGATCAAAACATGTGCGATGAATGAATGAAATACAAGCGCTAACGATATATTTGTGCTCAATGCTGCTATTATCATAATAATGTGACACATGTTCTGTATGTAGGACGTGACATTCGGAAGTCCCATAAATTTCCGATACATACAAATCACGCTAAAAAATTTTATTCACTTTTTAATGACCTTTCTTTGGATCGTGACTCAACAATTAAGAAATGTCATTGGTTTTATAACAGGTCACAGAACAAGCAATTTGCTATAGTATACAACTGAACTTATTCACATGTAGCTTGTCTACCATACTCGGTTGGGTCTCTATACAATTTGCGTATATTGATTAACACCGGCCGAAAGTCAAGTCTTACGATGCAGGAGGTCAAAAAAACATTTGCTGTCGCGGCAACGAAAAGAAACATCCGAGGTCAGATAATAATATGATGTACGTTTCGCAATTTTTTTTTTTTTTATTCTTATTCTTCAAAATCAATATATTCATTGCAATCTTGATGATGTAGAGTCTTGTCTCAACCATGTGTTTCGCGTGTGGTTCTTGGCAGAACGCAAAGAACTCAATTATCGATTCAATTAAATGCTTTTATGATCAAGACTGTTCGGTAGTTCCGATAAAGGGCAAAAATCGAAACAAAATTTTTTAAAAAAGTATCGTAGACCACTGCATACAATATTCCCTCGAATAATACCCATCCCGATTTTTTTTAAATGTACTTTTCTTTTTTTTTACCAAGTAATTTTCAGGTGGAACTATTATTTGTAAACAATATAATGATTTTATTGATTGTGATTTTTTAATAATAATAATAATTTGTATATTACCTGTTATTAATGGCAACGAATGTTTGAATTATCATTATTACTCCATTGTTGATGGTTTATATTCTTTATAAAGTATAAATAAATCCCGTTTTCGTATGTTTGAGCAAGATAATGTTATAATAAAGTATTGTGAAGCACAAGATATCAGAAAAACATAAAATTTTAGAAAAAGATCCATTACGCAAGAAAGAATTAGATCAGAGAAACAGAAAGAGGACCTTGACAGGCGAAGCGAATACCTCAGGTCTCAACAAGAAACGCAAGTGCTTCACATCCATCGTACCGAGGAGATATCAAGAAGGTTGTGGTTACCAGGAAGGATCAACTCTACAGGTTTGCGTACGAGCTTATCGAATGGATTCTTGGCAAAACAGTACAAAGATCAAAGATCGTGATACCAGTTTGGATGATGATACCGAATTCTGTGAAATTGCCGAGAACCTATTATAAATCGTTACTATCTTCACGGCAAGACACAATGAGCTGGAAACCGAAAACGACAAAGAGAGATTAAAACACGAAAGATACGGATTTACCCATCACCAAAGAAAGAGAAAAGCCGAGAAAGTGAATTTGAACTATGAGATGGAGGTACAAAAAAGTTCTTAAGATAGTGCAGGACCGACATGAGCGTCATACGAACGCACTACCTAAACGATGAGTACTTCACAACTGAAGAACTCTGGGTAAAAAGAGACCCCTAGGGAAGTACGTTCGTACGCATTTTGACAATTGATGAAATGGTTTTCGAATGAAATACCGATTAAGAAGGATCGAGCCCAAACCATCTCGATTCTTGCACCTAAAAAATATTATCACCTCCAGATATCAAATATTTTTACTTGTGTGTTTCCGTTTCTTTGAAGGTAATCTCACTCGATCCAGGTGTTCACACGTTTATGACTGGTTATGACCCTGACGGTCAATTAATCGAGTGCGGCAATGATGATTTTAATGAAATATTTGAATTATCTAAGAAACATGACAAATTACAGAGTAACAAAGATTTTGCTTTGGGAAGAATAAAAAAAGAGCGGGATTCCGATTGAAAAAAGATACTATGAATCATAACAACGAATCCATAATTTGATTGATGAGGGACTTCATCAGCTGCTCTGTTGGCTGTCAGAATTACGAGATCATTCTTTTACCCAAGTTCGAGGATGATTTTGAAGAACAAGCAAAAGTTTTGGTCAAAGACTGCTCTTGCAATGCTAACTTGATCGCATTTCGGGTTTCGGATCATAATTCGAGGGAGTTCGGATGTTGCAAGGTCATTCATTGGATTCGTAAAAAATAATCTCGGTGGATCAAAAAACGTTTAAATGTGATTCGTGCGAGGTGGAGATGGATCGGGACGAGAATGGTGTCCGAAATATCTTGCTCAAATATTTAACGGAGGGTCAGGTTTTAGCCTGACTCGGGGACTTTAAACTATATGGGATACGATATACATAGTAAAGACTAGCTTTATTTTATTTATATTGGATTCAATTTCAAAGATAATAATATCAAGAAATGAGGATTTACTATATACTGCATATATGATAGGTAAAAGGGAAAAAATCATTTTTTGTTTTTTTTATCACAAGAATACCAATCCAAGATTTACTGTGTAGATTAAGTAAAATTATCTTAGATTCAATGAAAATGGACACGATCCTATCAATCATTTGTTTATTAAAATCAAAAATGTACATCCATTGAAAGACAAATTCGGTCGAGTGAATTAAGTTTGCCCCGAGTTTCAGACCCTCGAATCTTTATTGTTTATTATTAAAAAATGGGGTCGAAATTGATTATGCACGATGCATATGTACGATCTTTTTTCACGTGAATTCCACAACAAACGTTTATGAAAGAAAATTGATTCTCTTTTGTTATTACTGTTTTTTCCAAATTATTTGTGTAACATTTATATAATTAATTCTAAAAACATTTATCAGACAAAAGAATATGTAAAAAAAAAAATCTTCGAAAAGGTTTGATGTATATGATAGGAATGTGATGAGATAATAATAAGGCCTTCATAAAAAGAAAAACCAAATATGATTTTTTATGTATTCTATTTCTTTGTTTACACTGAAATACACCTAAGCTATATAGAGTATAGCATCCCCGTGACTTGCCGTACTAATCCACTCGTACTCTGTTGGGTATGACACACTCATTCATGCAGATTCGGGATAATTTAAAAAAGTTTTACAATTAGCAAGGTCTATATCCTCAGATCACGTGACAATTAGAGGTCCTATTTTCTTCACTAGAAAGTCATATATAGCATTTTCGCTGCACAACAATTATCCAAATAATTGATATTTGTGTTGTGTTCACATAAAAAAAAAAAAGAGATCAATGTAACCGTGATTTCATGTATTCATTTCGTGATAGAACGGATTCAGTATGTATGACGCGAATAAATAAATATGTAGATTTAATAACCTGTTAATGCTCAGGAAAATAAAATAGCTGGTCTTTGAATGAGGAAAAAGTAGGGAATTACTGACGCTCAAAGTATTCGACTGGTGCAAAAAATTTACCCACGGTTGAATGACTTGAGGAGAAAGGTGAACTGTTTCATGATAAATTTGAAGTGTTGTTTGGTCAGATAAGATACACCGTCTTTATTCGTCATTCCCCTCAGAAAACAAAATATGCAATTAAGCTAAAAACATGTGACATAATGATGAGATCAAGTCGATGACTTGCTTTCTGTGTCCCCGAACTTGTGTCCGAATGTCGTATAACGAATAGAATAATAGTGAATGCTCCCAATTTAAGGTATAATTGATTTATTTCTTAATTTAAATCGAAGGATCATAATAAGCTTAAAGGTTATACTGCGTAGTTTCCATAGGAAAATTGATTATATATACTACTCGGAATTCTATTGGAAAAAAGTTTTCAATAATCTCTGATTATTGACTGTATATGTTGACCCTTCTTTATTGTCCTCATTTTACAGTAAGCATAGTTTTCTCTTTCACCATAACAAAAAGAATTACTTGCAATATCATAAACCGCAAACACGATGCCTTTTCATGACAACGACTCGACTCCTCAAAAATCGTCAATTGCTCCCTATCCTCCAATTCCTTGTCAAATTCGTGCATCAGCATTTCAACCTTTTTCTTCAACTTCTCCTACCTTCACTTCTCCGCAATCCCTCATTCCATCCCATTTCCCTGATAGGAATCAGGTCCCACGAACTGTCTTTCGAACCGACGAGCTCAAAATCGAAAGGCAAGACGGTAGGTCAATGAAACATGGTCAATTTATGTTTTCAGCGAGACCGAGGGATTTTCCAACAGCTAAAGAAATGTGTGACCATCAAAAATCACTGTACGCCACTTCTGAAACAATTTCTCAGAGAATGGACAACAATTATGGCGGGTGAGTTGGCGCACAAATAACTGATCACGCATCAATCGCAATCCGTACAAATGCGAACAACCATTATTATATGTTGCTCTGAAGAGCATAAAAAAAAATTATTTTTATTTTTATTTCTTTTCTTTTTCTAGTACATTACATTTATAATCTATCAATATTTGATTTACTGATCCATTTTGAAACATCAAGTTTACCCGGTAACTGGAGATATCGTCTAGAAGTCGTTCAGCACCCTACCCGTGCACGTGCATGTGGGTTTGGAAACAAGGTAACTTTGGTTTCGAATTGTTTATTGGTATGTGCACGTATATGTATTTTGATATAACGAACTATTTTATCAGGATTTTCGCCTAATTTCCCCCGCCATTTTTGTCAAATTATATATCCTTGCCGATAATGGTCCTGTGAACATTGAGTAGGTCATCGTGTCATTGATAATGCTGCCATGCCATCTGCTAATCTTTCTTTCTCATCGTTCGATGGTGACCATCCTCGGAATGAAGACAAGTCGACGTTCACTTTTTTCATCTCCAGGCGACTCTTCATGACTTCGCGTCCAAGGAGGATAACACCGAAATATGGGTTAAAAGCTCCTGTGGAAAATATGAAAGAATTGATAATCTTGTAGGAAATAAAAGTTCCATTTGTCACATGCTTGATGATCCAGAGGGAAAACCTGGTTTATGGTTTGTGTTTTCCTCGTTAAGTGTACGGACCGAAAAGGATTATTTTCTGAGGTTTTCGTTGCATTTTCTCGGATGGTATGTTTTTTTTTTCTTTCATAACCGCCTCCGTACAATACTAGTAAAAATTTTCCTTAATTGATTTGGTGAATTTGATAAATTATAAAAGGCAAGGGTCCCTTAATACGGGAGGAAATCTCATGACTCAATTGGCGACCGTGGACTCTAATAAATTTACCGTTTTTCGCAGTAAACTATTTCCTGGTGTTGCCGGTGGGTTATTCCTGATAGTTTTCATTGACGACGCCTCGAGTTTGTAACTTTTCCGAAATTCTAAAAATAAATCTTTCTCCTTTACCTCTCAAAAGAATGCACTCAATTATCCAAATGTTTCGCGACACAAGGGGTCAGCATTTACTTACGTCAAGATTCCTGCAAATCGCGAAGGTCACGCGTCAAAGGACAAGAAAAACGATCTATCGCCGATAACAAAGGAAATACCTTGGAACTAAACTATCGTGATAATATTCATACTCGTAGCATTAATTGTATAATGAGTGCCATTAATAGAAGTAAAGGAAATGTTGCAAGTGGCAAAAAGTAGAATTTGAATTTTTCTTAGCGAGAGACAAAAGTTGCACCGGTAGCAGTAGTATTATTGGTGTGCATCTGTTATTATCAGATTGTTTCTATTATGATCTTTAAGATATTTTATATGTAAGATTTGTTAATATTAAAGTTTCCTAATAAGATTTTTAAGCTTAACCCTATGTAGTACACGTGATTTGATTACATACACATAAATCAGGATAACGTAATAGATCACCATATATCACATTATCATGGCATCCATTCCTCAGGCCACTCGGCAACTTCGAGCATGTTTAGTATGTTCCATTGTAAAGGTACTCCTCTTGTAGAGCAACATATTAGTCACTTTCTAATATTTGGGAAAATATTAATCCAAAATACGATACCACTCAGAACGCAGAACAGTTTAAACGAGAAGGCTGTGACAATTGCGATCACTTTCTGCAACTTAAAAATCATCCAGAGAAGGTTTCGGAGTGCACTAGTTCCACTTTTGACGGGTACATATTATTGGCCCAGTGGTTTTTCCTTAAACCTACCCTTTTACCTCTTCTCGAGGTGCATCCGTTCTATTATTATTACGAGGTTTATTAATTTTTTTTTTTTTTTTCTTACAACAATAGTCTGATCGCGAACATAAAACCAGATCAGTCGTGGGCAGCTCAATACAAGAAGATTGGTATAAAAGTCAATGAAATTGACAAAACGCTTGGATATTTTGATACTAACCACTCAAATCTTTATTCTTGCTTCATATTATATTTTAGACCAATACGTTACAGGAATATATGCCGTAGGTGTGACTGGACGTATTCCCGAGTGGGTGGAGGACGAAATGTCCCGTCGCGACATTCAATATATTCCAAGAGATGGGAGTTCAACACATCCGAATTAACTTTGAGCGTATTTGAAGAAATCTCTTCTGAAGTGAAAAATGAGTTTAGGAAGTTAGGTTCCTGGTGTTTCTAGTGGGTTTAGGGATTAGTGAATTTTAGAATTTGCGAGATAATATTGGAATGAGACATTTATTTTCCGATTAGATTAGATCTAAATAAATTACATCAGTTAAGAGGCATCGCGTGAATTTCTATTTTAATTTTTTGTTTGGTGCTTCCTTTTGATTATGATATTGATCTTGTCATCATCACATTCTCAGCAGCAAATAAGAAAACGAGGTGATTTAGGTTCTATTAAATCTTAACATTAACATTTCGATCAAATGATATGATGCAGACCGAAAGCATTTGTATAATGGATAATCTCTCTTGAATTAATTACAATATTAAAAATAAATTATTCCTTTCTTTTCTTTTCTTTTGAGCTAGAAATATTTAGGCGCTAGCGACATTATTAACCTTCCTAAGCCGTTACTGGTACGACGGGTGTTTCTCCCGGCATAGGTCCATTTTGCTGTGGTATATTCACCACCACCTGTCCCTGCCCCTCGGTCACAACCTCGTTGCCCGGAACTCCCTTTTCCGTCATGTCAATAGCATTTCCCCAAAAATCGACATTTCTTATCTTTTTTCCCCCTTTAATCATCACCGCTGTCATCTTGGTCAGGATGTCAAATTGATCTTCGTCAATATCCACGGCATTGGGATCAAATCCTCTGTCGAAATCACATTCCATCAATGGAACTACTTTGGTTTTTTTGAAGATTTTAAAGGCGAGGTACAGGGTTATGAATAGCGGGGCTCCACTGTAGGCTGTTATGACGATCGAGGGGTCCTTGTGTCCGTAATCGGCACTGTAGAAAGCGTTGAAGGTTTGCCCGATTATTAGTAAGGAAAAGATGCTGCAGGCAAAGATTGGCCCAAACGGAAAGTACATCGCTTGATATGGGAGGTCAGATAATGCGCGACCCTGTGAAAATAATAAACAACCGTTCCTTCTTTGTTGTCTGTTGTGGATCTTATGGATAATAAATTGTTTGATAATAAACATGGATTACCTGAGCAACGAAGGCTTTTCTAAATCGCCAATGCGTGTAACTGATCCCTGCCCACTGAATAAAAATCGAAACTCCCGAAATATTGAGTAAAATGGTATAGTACTTTCCTTCACCAATCAATGACATCCAAAACGCTAAACTACCCACTGAAGCGGTGGCAAACACGGCGTAAAATGGTACTCCTTTTTCACTGACCTCTCCAAAAATCTTGGGTGCGCATCCTTCGCAAGCCATATTATAAAGCGCTCGAGAAGCGGCGTAAACACCAGAACTTCCAGCGGATAAAACTAAAAGCGACTGGAATTAGAATAATCTATTTGGTAATTTTAAAAATTGACGCGTCCCGTTTCGAGGAGCATATACAGTATGTCAACATACCGGTGGTCAGAATAACGAAATTAATAATATGCATCGACACACCAAGCCCCGTCTTCTCGAACACGATGGTAAATGGGCTTATGGCCAACGCGTTAGTTCCACTGTCAACCACGATTAGGTTTGGATGATTATATGGTACCAACAAACCCACTACCATTATTGTGAACAAATAAAATATCAATGTTCGCCAATAAACTTGTCCTATGGCCTGAGGCACATTTTTCTGTGGATTCATTGATTCTCCTGCGGCTATGCCCACAAGCTCTGCCCCCTGAAAAGAAAACCCCGCGGTCAATATCACAGCGAGGAGTCCGTAAAAATCCGTGATTCCATGAGCGTAGTTGGTGAGCCATACTGCTTCACCGGAATTCCCGACAATTCCCACATCTAATAAGAGGCCCACGATAATAAATACTGCCACGGTCACCACCTTTAACAATACATTTGTAAAAAGAGGTTGAATAAACTTTTGATGGTTAAACCGATTGTAACGATTGTTTTAAGCATCTATCGTTACCTTTATAAGAGCAAACCAGTATTCCGACTCACCATATCCTTTAACAGGCATAAGATTGAAGGCTAAGATGAAAACCATGAAAAGAAAGCTCCATATCCAAGTGGGAACATTTGGCGCCCAAAACTCCATTATGATTGCCGCTGCCACAACTTCAACTGCTATCGTCATTGACCAAAAGTACTACAGATTTTGCATGGACCGATAACGAAGATACATTTAAACATGATTCCATCTGACAAATTATTCATGTCTTTTGATTATCAAAGACTCCTACCCAATAATTCCAACCAAGAGCAAACCCAAGAGCTGGATCGACAAATCTCTTGGCGTACGTATTAAAAGAACCCGATATTGGAATGAACGTTGCCATCTCACAGAGCGATGTTATCATGAAATATACCAAAACTCCAATAATCGCATAAGCCAATAGAGCACCAATTGGTCCTGCTTTGGCAATTGACGCACCTGAAGTCAAAAAGATTCCGGTACCTACACATTGCGACAATGGTTAGTTAGAATCGACTTGACCTCGATTTGTTCAATGACCTTTCTCCGGGAATCCGGAAAACGCACTGAACGGGAACTACGTGCATCCCTCTTTTACATACCAATAGTGCCGCCTATCGAAATCATAGTTAAGTGACGCGAGGCCAATCCACGCTTTAGATGATTTGGTTCTGTTTCTGGTTGGACAACTTGGTCGGCGACGTTCCCTCGACCCTGACCGCCGCCGACGTTCTTTTTTAGTGGCGCATCTCTCGGTCTTTCCTTTCGGCTAAATTTTATTTTTGGTAATTTTTTTAACAGGTTCTTTGCGTCTTTATCTTCGATTTGTATTGTTGGATTCATTTTATTTTTAATCAGAGGTCTATATTATTGTCAAATTATTTCTTTTCTTGAACCGAAAGAAACATCATTAATTACTGTAACTGCCCCAATTCCCCAAAAAAGAAAAAATCACCTCGAGAAGAGAGCTATTTTTTTTTAAAAAAATTTTTAATTGTATTTATCATATATAGTTCATTTGTATAATCACCATAGCTGGACATGTTATCATAAATTCTTTAGCACAGCCTCTCATTCAAGCGAGGCAAAATTTCAAAAACCTGTTTAATGGTCGTGTTGATGATACGACTTTAGAATAACAATTGTCACAAAGCCACTTATTTTTCATAATATTTTCTACTTTTTGCCGTGTGATCTGTATAATGTGTACTCAGAAAACCAGCTTTATTTTATTAGATTGTACAATGAAGTGATCTCAAAGTTTACAGTGTATGAAAAGTGGAAATTTCCGTGTTGCGCAATATAATATATTCTTTCGATCTGGCTGATCTGATCGTAATGAAACAAAAAAAAAAGATCATAAAAAAGGAAATAGAATCACAACGCAATAAATAATTATTATTCTAACCTTTAAGTCAGGCCTAGATAATAGAATTTATTAATTGATTGCTGAAAAATCAAGTATAGCACGATATTATATTAGTTAAACAATGTTAAAAGGTCAGAACATCTGTCAATAAGTTGAAAATTTTAATTATAAGAAATAGGAGAGTTATGTTATATAACTAAACAATATTAAAATAATGATTTTTTTTTTCAAACAAGTATTAAAATTATAATTATTATTGTTATAATTATTATTTAAAATATAACTTACGCTTTTTTTTTTAGTTTAAAAATTATAAAAATTAAAAGAATTAAAATATTAAAGAATTAAAAATAATAAAGCATATAAAAAAAAAATTAATAATATAAGTATATAAAAAAGAAAATAATAATATAATATAAATATAAAAAGAACCTAATAATAATTTATTTATTTATTATAAAATAACTTGGAATTTTTTAAACTACTGTATATTTTTATTAATAAATTAATTTTTTTAAATAAACTTATCAATCTAAAAACAATTGTTTTAAAAAAGTTTTATTATAAGGTCTATATATTTTTCTTAATAATGTTATTTTCTAAGAACTTGGGTTTTTTTTTTGAAAAAATTTTATATATTTTTATAAATATAAAATATTTTATTTATAAAATTAAAGTCAAAAATATTTAATTAAAAAATATATTGAATATATAATAAAAAAAATTTTTTTTTTTTTTTGAGATTTGAAACTTTAAATAAATAGTTGTTTTGATTTTTAAAAATCTTTATTATTTTTTTCAGGTTTTTTTATATTTTTTTAAATATAAAAACTTTTTTATTTTTTATAATAAATAAACTATATTTAAATACAATAAAATAAATTTTTTTATATTAAATAAGTTTTTCTAAAAATAAATAAATAAAAAATTAAAGTGAATATCAATATTATAATTTATTTTTTTATATTGTATCTTTAACTTATATAGCTATAAGCAAAATAAAAATATATATTTTTTAACAAATATTTTAATATAATTCTTTGATTAATATAAATTATTAAATCTAAAAATTAAAAAAAACTAATTAAAACATAACTTTTAAAATTTTTAACAAATATTTTAAAGATTTTAATTAATATTGATTATTAAATTTATAAATTAAAAAATCAAACAGAATATAACTTTTATATATTAAAAAAAAACTCTTTCCTACTTCCTCTTTCTACACTTGAAAATTTCCTTTTTAGGAAATTTTTGAGTTGTTTACTTTTTTTTTCGTCTTCCCTTTTTCCTTCTCTCTATGTTCCTTCCCTATACCTCTTTATTTCCCTTCCCCTATCTTCTTCTCTCTCTTCTACATATTCTTTTCTTTTACTTTTACTCCTCCCTTCCTTTTTCCCCTTTTTTTTCCTGCCAAAGCTAGGTTTTTCCCTTTTCCCTAAAGGTTTTCCTCCCTAGGCCTCTCTCTCTTTTGAAAACTCTGCCTCCATAATATCACTCCTCTGGTCAGTGGATCCTTTTCTCTCAGGAACCATATAAGAAGTGGCAAGATTTTCACAGGACATGGGCTATGGAAAGTTTTCCTTTCATGGCTCCTCAGAAAAAAGACGGATGGCTTACCCCCTCCAAAAGATCAACATGGCCATCATTACCTAATCTGGTGTTGTTTACTTATTGATGGTTAGACTAGATACATCTAAAAAATCGATGTACAACTATTATTATCTGAAAGTATTCAAGAAGTTGCGCCCCACAGTATCCAGAAAGATATGGCAGCCAATGCCAATGCAACTAACAGTAAGCTAGGTTAGTCTGCAG